TAGTGCGAGCAGCACGGACAGGAGACGTAGGGCGAGACGCAGGTTCACGACGCTCAGCAAGACCTCTAGTAGGACCAGTGTAGGGAGAAGGAGCAGGCAGTGGGGAGGACGGCTGTAACTGTAACTATGACGGGACAGGCTGTGGACACTCTAAGGGAGGAGGAGGACCAGTAGAAGGCGGGAGACCAAGAACCTGCTCAAGGAGCGGAACGAAGTACGGCCGAGGCCGCGCGGCGACTCCAGACACAGCAGGGACAGCACCAGTACCCTTAGCGGGAGCACCAGCGCCAGGAGCACCTCCAGCTCCCGTACCTCCAGCAACACCAGTAGTACGCCCAGCAGGACCGCCTCCAGGACCGACAGCAGTAGCCTCAGCGCCAACACCCTCAGCAGCTCTAGCTCCAGTCGTACCCACAGGCCCAGCAGCTCCAGTACTCCCAGTACGAGCACCTCCGGGACCCGCGGCACCAGCACCCTCAGCAGCCGAAGAACCTCCAGCTCCAGCACCACGCCTCCAGCGCTGGGCAAACCACTTACGCAGCTTCTGTGGAGAGAGGGGCTCCCGTCGAGACGAAGCACCCGGAGAACCTCCAAGCCCAGCACCGCCAGACGCTACACGAGTAGGCCCAACTCCCTCAGGCTCCGAACCCTCAGGCTCAGCAACCTCAACAGCACCAGAGTCACCAATAACCTTGACAAGCTCGACTGCGTCTTCCTAGGACACACTTGAAGGGGCAGGACCCTAAAGGGGGAGGGGGTCTACCGGGGGGGGACCTGGTTCAAGGAAGAGCGGTGGCGGGGGGAGGGACGGAGTGCGGTAGGGGAAGAGGCGGTAGTAGGGGAGCGACTCGTCAAACGTGACGTCCTGGGAGGACAAAACACAACGAGAGGTGGGGTGGTAGAACTGCTACCCTGGCGCGTCAGGGGGGAAGCCAAGGAAGACGCAAGGAGCAGCACGAGGGGACAGCTTGTCCGCAGACAAGTCGCGAACAAATGCCCGAGATCCCCAGACACGGAACGCAGACGCATCACCAAGCTTCCCCGTCCACAGCAAAGCTGGGGATGTCTCCGGCATGGAGACCCTGGGGTGAAGGTTGATCTGATGCGCCGCGTACCGAACCGCAAACGGCCACAGAAAATGGGGGGCAGCCGCATGCATCATGGACGTACGAGCGACATCCATGACCATGCCAATGCGGCGCTCAGCAATCCCATTTTGCTGTGGAGAGTCCGGAAGCGTGAAGGTTTGGCGGATGCCTCGTGCACGACAGTAGGCTCGCAGAAGGCCAGAGGAGAACTCTCCGCCTCTGTCAGAGTGCAGACGCAAAACAGGAAAGTCTGAGCCAAAGCTCCTCCTGAGCTAGAGACGAGCTGCGCGGATCCAGTCGATCAACACCTCAGTGACATCACTCTCGCTGCGCAAGGGGAAGACTCTGGTGTAACGCGAGTAGTCGTCTACCACCAGCAGGAAGTAGCGCTCGTGACCCTGTCCACGGATGCGGGCCGGGCCCCACACGTCCATGTGAAGCGTCTGCAGCGGGGCCTCTGTCGGAGGAAACCGGGAGGAGTGAGGGGCATCCCGCTGCCGCCCCTCGACACAGGGGATGCAGGTAGGGCCAGGCCCAGGAGGAAGGGGAGGGAGGTACCGGGGAAGACCAGAGACAAGGACACGGGAGGCCATGCCTCGGAGATGAAGCAGGGAGGGGTGACCAAGGCGGTGGTGCCAGAGGAGAGTCTCGTGAGACAGTAGGCAACACGAGCAGGGGGCAGACTCAGGACCAGACCTGGACGCTGCAGCAAACACCTGACCCGACGCAGCTACCTGACCAGACGTAGTGTCTGGAGGAGACGCAGTGGTCAGTGTGTACAGGCTCGACCCCGGGGGACGTGTAAACGTGGCCAGGTGTCGGCCTGTCCGAGCGTCCGTGCAGTGGGTCACCTAGTGACTCGCAGGATTGAACTGGTGACCCCCCGCATCCTGTAGGTCAGCACCACTTACCAAGTTCGTAGAGAACAAGGGGAGGTAAAGACCAGACAGGGTGCCAGAGGGGGCCGCCGGACACGGGAGGACAGTGGAGTAGTGAGCAAGGACAGGACCCCCAGAGGGGTTTGCCAGAGAGACTGCAATTGGTTCGCCAAGCGGCGTGAGTGTGGTGCGGTCTCGAAAAAAGAGCGAGAAGCCGCTGAGTGAAGGGTGAAGGTGTGGGAGGCCGAAGCCGACGCAGTACCTGAGAGAGCAGACTCACCAGCACCTGAGGGAGCAGACGCAAGAGCACCTAGAGCAGCAGCCTCGCTAGCACCTAGAGCAGCACCCTCACCAGTACCTAGAGCAGCAGTCTCAATGCCCGGGTCGGACGGAAAACACCGGTAACAGTCACCCTCATCACTAATAGTCACAGCATACATGGCAGCAAGAATAGCATCAAAGTCAAGGTCAAAGACAGCTACTCCTGCCCTAGAAAGCTCGCCCCAGCGGGGTATCTCAGTGGCCTCCGGGAATGGGTGATGCCAAGCGTCCGTCAGGCGGCCAAAGCAGCGCTGGGTGGAGTGCGCACCCCCGCACTGCTCACCTGCGCAGTCGCCGGTGCGTAGGACGTAGGTGCACGGACCAGTACCCCCACCCCGCTGACGTGCAACGTACCACTCACGGAGCTTCTGAGGGGGGGGGATGTCACGAGTGCGCTGCTGCTGCTGGCGCTGACCACCACCGGAGCCGACCCTCTGCGCAGCGCCACCCCGACCAGCTCCACCTCCACCGCCACCGCCTCCTCCACCGCCGCCACCTCCGCCACCTCAGCTCCCACCGCCACCGCCGCCGCCGCCTCCGCCTCCACTGCCGCCACCGACACCTCCACCCCCGCCATCACCCCCACCGCCACCCCCACCCCCTTCACCGCCTCCACCGCCTCCTCCACCGCCCCCGCTAGCTCCTCCAGCGCCCCTGCCCCCCTTTTCCCTTGCCAGGGCGGCGTCTCCCGCTAGGGGTAGACGCCGCACCGACCGACTCAAGCCCAACGAGGTCGGCCGCAGCAGCAGAGGAAACAGAGGGCAAAAGGGGGGAGGGGGAACACCCCTCAAAGATGGGGGTGCGAGGGTCACCACGAGAGGCTCCTACAGCTACTTTGCTCTTCTCTATCACTAGGAGGGCCTTCTCGAGGAGGTCAACGGTGAGAGTGGTGGGGCAAACTGAGAGGAAGTGGTCCCTGACTACGCGAAGGGAGTCAGGGAGCCGGGTGACTATGTAGTAGAGGGTGATGTACATGGGGGGGGGGTTCTTGGCGCAGAACTCAGCAGGAAGCGCAGCGCGGTAGCGAGTGTCACTAGTGCGGAGGTGCGTAATGAGGTCAGCGACTGTGGGAAAGGCAGCAAGGTCAGGGAAGAGGTACGGTAGCATGAGGCGGCCCAGTGCAAGAGTGGCAGGGGAGGAGTAGCGTGCAACTACAGCGTCGTACAAGGTCTGAGCCCTCTTGTACTGACTAAAGTGCGCACGCTCAGAGGTAGGCAGATGGCGACGCACAGCAAGACGTGCAGCAGCATCGCGTGTGGCCCACTGTGAGCGAACAGTGGCGTCGGCATCAGCAGCAGGGGCAGGAGAGGCACCAGATGTGAGGTCAAAGAGGGAGAGACCGTCTGCCCTATCGCGCTGTAGGAAAAGCTGCAGGTCATCTACCCAGACGTCAAAGTCAATGGCCCGACCCTCAGCGTCAAAAGCGAGGACACTAGGGGTAGCCATGACACCAGTAGACTAGCAGGGTGAACAGTAGGGTAAGGGCAGTGTTGTGAAAGAGGCGCTGCTCTTACCGGACAGGGCGGCTTGGGCGGCTCGGCGGCTTGGCGGCTTGGCAACTGGGCGGCTCGGCGGCTCGGCGGCTCGGCGACTGGGCGGCTCGGCGGCTTGGCTCGGGCGGTTTGGCTGTTCGGCGGCTCGGCTGCTGGGCGGCTCGGCGGCTCGGCTGCTGGGCGGCCTGGCGGCTCGGCGGCTCGGCGGCTCGGCTGCTGGGCGGCTCGGCGGCTCGGCTGCTCGGCGGCTTGGCTGCTGGGCGGTTGTGCCGCTAAGGAAGGCGGGGCCGCAAAGGGCGGCGGAGCCGCTGAAGTGAGCGGCGAGGGGGCCGCAGAGGAGGCGGCGGGAGGGCCGCTGAAGGGGCGGCGTCGAGGCCGCTGCAGGAGTGGCAATGTGGCCGCTCAAGAAGGCGGCGGGGCCACTGAAAGGGCAGCGACGGGCCGTAAGGGGAGGGCGGCGACGGGGCCACTGTAAGGGCGGCGACAGGGCTGCTGTAAGGGCGGCGACGGGGCTGCTGTAAGGGCGGCGACGGGCCGTAAGGGGAGGGCGGCGACGGGCCGTAAGGGGAGGGCGGCGACGGGGCCGCTGCAAGGGCAGCGACGGGGCCGCTGTAAGGGCGGCGACGGGGCCGCAGGTGAAAGGGCAGCGACGGGCCACAGGGGGAGGGCGGCGACGGGCCGCTGAGGGCGATACGACGGGGCCGCAAAAGGGGCGGCGCGACGAGGCCACGAAGGGGCGGCGCGAGGCGGCCGCGAAGGGCGGCGCGACGGAACCGCTAAGGGCGGCGCGACGGGCCGCTAAGGGCGACGTGACGGGGCCGCTAGGGAAGGCGCGACCCTAAGCGCGCTTCGGGCAGGGGAGGGACACGCCCCGGGCAGGAAAAAAAAGTCGGTGGGCCCTAGGAACAGTTCCCACTAGGGAACCTGCTCGATACCATGAGAAAAGGGAACGAGAATGATTGGACTATGAAAGAGTTGGGAACAAGTACTAACCCTAATTGGGTTGTACCCCTTATAGGCTACCCCACTACAGCCTACACTAATGTATAAGCTATAATGTTCTGACAACTCAGTGTGCCCAATCTTTCCGCAAGGGTCACCAGCCCGGGTCCCATGCGCCTGATGTACGGGCAATGAGCACTACCCCCAGAAGGGCCACGCTGGACAACCCACTCACGAAGCTACTAGGGCGTGAGTGTCTCCTGCTGGCATGGCTGTTGCTACTGTCCACCTCCAGAGCCTCCGCCACCACGAGCTGCACCCCCAGTCGCCGCCCTAGAGCCATCATTCCTACCAGCTCCACCCGAAATGCCACCTGAGCCCCCTTCGCCCACCCCACCGCCTCCACCACCCCCACCACCTCCACCACCACCACCACCGCCTCCACCCCCGCCACCACCACCGCCACCACTACCGCCACCACCCCCGCCAGCGCCCACCCCACCACCATTATCCCCCTTGCCCTTGCCACTGTGGTGACTTCCACTAGGAGCAGACGCAGCACCGACCTCCTCAGCACAAAGGAAGTCAAATGCGGCAGCAGAGGCAACAGAGAGCGCGAGAAGGGAGGGAGAACACCCTTCAAAGAAAGGGGAGCAGGGAGTGCCACAAGAGGCAGCTACAACGACAACACTCGTCTCAGCCTCGAAAAGATGCTTCTCTAGCAAGGCAAACGTGAGCTCAGTGGGGTCAAGGGTGAGGAAATGATCCCTAACGGCGTGGAGGGAGTCAGGGAGGCGAGTGACCAGGAAGTAAAGGGTGATGTACATTGGGGGCGGGTTCGTAGTAAGAAAGGTCGGCTTTAGAGGTGCGGGATAGCGAGTGTCACTAGAGAGAAGGTGGGTCTTGAGACCAGCGACGGTGTGGAAGTCCGACAGCTTAGGAAAGAGATACAGCAACATGAGACAGCCTAGGGCAGCAATAGAGGGGGAGGAGTAGTGAGTGACTACGGCGTCATAGAGCTCTTTGGCCGTCATAAGCTGGCCAAAATGGGCCCTCTCACATGCGGGGGGTGGTTGCAGACAACAAGGCGGGCGATAGCATCGCGCGTGAGCCCCTGCAAACAAGCTACACGGTCTGCTAACTCACCTGGGGCGGGTGGGGACCCGGACGTATGCTCGAAGAGTGAGACATTGTCCCTAACAGGCCTTCATTTATCAGCGTAAAAGATGTTGATTAGGCTGATTTTGTAGTCTTTTTTTTTTTTTTTTTTTTTTTTTTTTTTTACCCTGATCAGCACCTGATTCAATTGTGCACCGAAATTTCAGTATAAAGTATATGGCCACACTGACCACTTTGCGTGTTGCTGTACAAGTAACACTAACAAATCAATATAGTTGTATGAGTCACGCTGTAACGGACTTGACCGGTTCGGGAGGGGAGGGGGAGGGGGCTGCAGAATAGGGTACGCGTGTAATATCTATACCTTGCCAGTGATTCACGAAACCCCACCCACACACTTGGAATTTTTTCCCATGCGTTGTACAGATAGTAGGTGCGCGCCGAAGTGTTTTGCCTCGTTGGAACCTATCACAGCGACAAAGCCACACACCTTGTTTATGACTGCCCAATTAAAAGACAGACATCACACCACTGGAGGCAGTGTTCACGTCATCACGGCAAAAGATGGCAGTGGCAGTCTCGTCTCCATCTTGCTAGGAAAGACAGCTAGGGTGAGAGTAGGGTGGACCAAGATGCCTCTCCATGGCGGCTCGGGAGAGGGGGTAACCCCATCTAGTCCCTCAATCTGTTCATGCACTCTTCGTTTTCCCCTGCAGGAAGGGACGTTTTAGCGCTAGCTTTCCCACCCAAGCTCGGCACACTGCAGTAGCATCCCACTCAAGCTCGGCACACTCGGCCGAGCTGAGCGTCCATGGCAGACCCGTCGCCCGCAGAGGATGGCCATAACTCCAACGCATCCAACAAGCCTGCCGCCCTTACTGGCCTCGATTTCTTATGGGGACCTTCAGCCGCTCCCTCGTTAGTCTCGCCCATAGTACCCACAAAAATCCTCCCTTCTTCGGGTCCCAAGGCACCTACGATATGGATGAAGGGCGAGTGTTCAAGGCATGTCGTTGCCGCTTCAACACCCATCGATCCGCCAATCACTTCCGGCTCTAAATGGAACCATCCGCTTGTCGCTGCCAGATCTACTCGCGTTGGCCCGCCTCTCAAAAAGGGTATCAAAGTGAAGTACCACCAGACAAAGATCCATTTGGGTGCCAGTTAAGCGACGCCCACATCTAGTGTGAAGGCCCACAGCGTAAAGTTAAGTCAAAAGCGGTTGATGTAACTTCTGAAACGGAACTGCCCGGCATTGGAGGGGAGAAGTACTAGGAAGCGTTGTTCATGTACAAGAAACAGTGGTTTGATGACTTTCCGTGGTTTATTCTTTGTCAGACGAAATCAGGCTTCCCGTCCATGAAGTGCACGGTCTGCATTGAGAACGAACTTCGGCCACAAGGTGAAGGGGCAACCGATGTGCAGACCCAAGCTATGCGGAAGCACGAACGCAGAAGGAAGCACCGTTGAGCTCTGCCCAAACAGAAGACGGCGGCGACAGCGCTCAAGGCAAACCGTCAGATCGGCGACAACTCCAAAGTGAAGGATATCGAGAGGAGCGCGTGATCGCGCTCCTTGAGACAAGGCTGTTCATCGTCAAATCGGACGCCCCCATCAAGATGTTGGTGGATCTCGCCCAAAATCTGGCGCAGCGGGGCACACCAGGCTTCCCAAAGAACAGATACAGTGCATATTACACGACGTGAGTAACATAGCATTAAAATATTCTCGTTGGAGTGATTGAACTATTTGATGTATAACTAACCACATCTTATTACACCCTTATAGGTATGGTTTTGAAGAGCTTACAGCCGCAACAACGACATACCTTTGTGCGCGCCAGAGATAGTACATTGACTCAAGTCTGCTCATTGGTCTGAGCTGAGACAAGAGCACAAACCGCATCAAAGGGAAGCACATGATTTTTTTTGTTACATTTCTTCGTGAACATGCAATCGACACTGAGTTTCTAACAAACCTTTCCATTAAGAAGTGTGATGCAGCAACACAACATGCCGTGCTCAAAGGATTTGTAGACAGCATCAGCCTTCCGTCGGAGAAGGTGGAGGAATCAACACCGATGGGGCTCCAGTGATGCTTTGCAACGACACTGGCCTCTTTGGGCGTCTTCGACTACAGATTCCTCATGTGATGGCCAGCCACTGCATTGCGCACAGGTATGCTCATTAATGTATCGTTGCTGTTTGATATGTGTAAATGTTGACACTAACCCACCGAATGTGCTCGTTTTCCTCTGGCAGGGAGGCGCTAGCAGCAAGGGGGCACAGCCAGAGCTTGGCATGATCAACGCTGTTATCCGCTCTGTAGCTGAAGATCTTGGCAGGTCGAACAACTCCTACCTCAAATTCAAGGAGTTGCAGGAGATCTTCACGCACACAAACCTAGAGGTCCAGGGGATACATGCCGTCCGCTGGTTGAGCCGAGGCAAGGAGATCGCACGACTCGTCCGCGTTCTGCCTGCTGTCATCGTTCTCCTCGAGCTGAGAAACAACGAAACTATGCACCGCCTGGTGACATCGTTCAGATTTCACTTCTTCCTATACTTCCTGACAGATGTGCATACGGCACTCAACGTGCTGAACCTGCTATTCCAGAGACGTGAGGTGCGTTGTTGTGCTAAGTTCATTTGATTCCTTCTACTAATCTGTTGTCTAAATGTGCCCTATCTCTCCCGCCCAATAGGTTGACCTCACTAGAGTCCATTCCCAGGTGAGGCGGACCATCATCTACATCGAGCAGAGGTACATCCACCATGGCCAGCAGTTCGGCGGTGGGACCAGCGAGATGCTGTCAACATTCTTCGCGCGGCACGCCTCGCCTGAATTCCATAAAGTGATTGTGGAGGGGGTGGACAGGGATGGTCAGCCCCGGGTACATCGGTTTCACTTGCACGAGGACTCTGTGCTAGGATACACACCAGCAGTGGGGGCATGCAAAGGTGTTACACCTGCTGCTGCTCATTCGCTCGCAAGCTTGTGTACAACTTGGAGTTGCGCTTGGGGGACATGACAAACTTGAACGGGACGAAGCTCTTCATGCCCCACACGTGGCCGAGGGGTGTCGAGACAAGAGATGTCGAGTGCAAGGAGCACACGCACAACCTCATCCATCTCTTTCAGGCCAAAAACCAAGACACTATCCTACCTGGTGAGCAATCTTCGTCCCCTGATCTGCTTGTGTGCAGGCACTTTATCGCTCCTTGTGTGGTTGACTATCTTCCCATTTGTGTTTGAGTGACGGTAATAGCAGGTGTCAAGAAGGATGCAACATCTGCGGAGCTGTGTAATTTTTTTCCGGTTCTCTCCTCAGCACCCAAGGAGGAGCAGACGTTTCATGCCGGTTTGAAAGCCATCTTGCAAACAGGCGACTGGCAGAGCAGCTACCCCAACCTAGCCCGTCTGTGGGCTGCGGTGGCTGTTCCGCCAATCAGCACAGTCGAGAGTGGACGCAGGTTTTCCCACCAGAATGTCATCAAGTCATGGCGGCGGACGAGCCTCTGCAATGCCAAGCTGGGAGACCTGTTGGCGTTGAGCCTGCTTGAGTACGATATGGAGTCAGAGAAGGTGGTGGAGATCAAGAGGAGCACCAAGAAAAGGGGCCCAGCAAGCGCAAGGAGCAAGCAGCGCCAGCCAGAGAACGAGCCAAATGTGTAAGGGGAGTGGCCGCCAGGTAGTCAATGAGGAGATAGATGGGAGCACGCATGGTTTTGTTGGCGATGATAGTGAAAGTGATGATGGCGGTGGCAGCAGTAGTGAAGATGATGGGAGTGATTCTGATTCTGATGACATGTAGTCTGTAGATGTGAGGATCTGGTTCAAGAATGTAAAATCTATTGAATGATTCACTTGGGCACAAGGCAAGGCTATATATAGGCTCAACACAAAGGTTCTGTGGGTCACAAAGCGTCCCGATCGGGTCCTTCCCGTATTCGGTAGAAGGCAATTTGGTGGCAACCAAAAAGCCTAGAATTCGGTGCACTCAACCTAGTTCGCTGCCTATAACTATAATAAGTATAGTGAAGCAATGAACCTATAAAATCAAGCAAATGCATGCAAGAAAAAATAAAGCTAAGCTAGATAATGCGTAATAAAACAGAATCAAGCAAGTAAAATCCAGCAAAGCCGTCGTACTCTCACACGTGAGAAACACCCTGCTTGACAAGATAATCCTTGAGAGCACGGCGAGCATTGCCCATATTAGCTTCCGCAACCCAAATGTCCTCCGATGGGCGTCCCTGGAACTGTTGGTTGGGGTCCTTGTAGGGCTTCACTAGCTGAAAATGGAAAGCATTGTGAAGCTTCAACGTAATAGGTAAGCACAAGCAGAATGTCACTAGAGTCACCATCGCCTCAACGCGATAAGGACCATAGAAGTGAGGTCGGAGCTTGGATGGAAGTTGACAAGTCTAAGTTGCGTGTGTCAAGAAGCACCTGATCTCCGACTGCTACTGGGTGATCTTGTCGCTGTCGATCGGCATACTGCTTATGGGAGTTTTGCATCGTGATGAGACGTCGCTGAGTCTTCTCCCAAAGCTGCTGCATGGTGATGACAAAGTCGTGTGCAGCTTGGACATGTGCCGGTGTGGTTGGCTGCTGTAGTGTAAGTGGTTCCCATTTGTAGCACAAGAAGAAAGGAGATTTCCCTGTGGCCGCGTGTGATGCGTTGTTGTAAGCGAACTCAAGTGTCGGTAACTGTAGATCCCAGTGGCTGATGTCGTCATCGCAAGCTATGCGCAGCAACTGTTCAACCACTTGATTGAGTCGCTCCGTCTGTCCGTCAGTCTGGGGGTGGTACGCTGAAGACATCGCAAGATTTGTCCCCAACAAACCCATAAGTTCCCTCTCGAACTTATTTGTGAACTTTGGGTCTCTTTCCAAGATAAGTGTAGCAGGGCTGCCGTGGATGGTGATGATGCGGTCGAAGAAGAGGCGGGCAGTTGCTTCAGCTATAGGCGTGGCGTTGGTCGGGATGGAGTGTCCCATCTTAGAGAACTGGACGATCGTCACGAAAATAACGTTATTTTGCCATGGCTGCTCTGGTACGGGTAGATG